TGCTGCCAGACCTGCTGAGCTTTTCCAGCAACTTTGTTTTTGCAACACACTTAGTCCTAGTTCTAGGTCCTTTCCCAGTAGCCCTACAAATTTCTTCTGTTCAGATAACTGTCCAAGTTTTGAAAACCATGATTGAATTGGTTTCTTGAATTGCCCACCAGAACCTCTTCTTTTACCAAATACCATAAATCAGTAAGCTCTGGCTCTCTATTGTTCCACCACTTGGAACTGTTTCTCCCATATTCACTGTACAGATCCCTCATGGTTGTGAACATCTCGATCAAATCAAAATATTGAATAAGACTGTACATTGAGTTAAGAATTGTTGATATTGTGAGATAAACGAAGAAGTTGTATTGACACTAGAACCTTTGTTTATCCACTACATAATCAATAGGTGTCTTTAAATACTTTCATTCTGGCTGTGCAAATATAAGATCTCCTAAAATTACACATTAAATTATAGCAGCAACAAGCAAATTATGACCAATTTGCTGATAAAAGCCAATATTCAAAGGGAAGTTCCATTGCCCTGGGCACTTTCCAAAGATAATTACAGGACTTTGCGAAAATGAAGGTCTGTGAATTAGAATGAACTGAGACTAATAGCTGTCGATGTTTGATCACTTGGATTTAAATTAATTGTCACTACAAGGGATAATGAATGTCAGAATAAGACATTAAAGTGAAAAATGCAACTTATAATTAATTGCTCCAAAATGCAGGATATTTCCCCCACCCTATGAATGATCCGTTCTATTGTTACACAGAAGAAAGCACAAAAATTACAAACTGAGAAAGCAGTCATCAGGAAGGGACCAAGCATTGCAAGTTTAATTTTTCTTCACCAATGAGTTCTAAAAGAAAATCTTCACTATTTGAACAATCAAGAAAGTCCAAGCTCTGTCTTAAACACACAACAAAAAATTTGTGTTATAAAATATAGATAACATACATGGATGACATATGCTGGCGCAGCACAAGTAATTTAGTTGAAAGATTTTTGCTAATGAATTTAAAAAACCCAGCCCACATAATTACCTTCTAACTTAAGATCTTGTCCCTGAGCAAGACTTTGGTGGTCTTGATTAGAGGTCACTGATACAACTATTAGTCTGATAAGCCCGTATCATTTTTCAAATGGCGTATCCCTGTTCAATGGGTTACCCAGCTGGACTTTAGATACGAGACTTAATGGTAAATGGAACCAATGAGCAATCAATGGTGTGATTTGAGTAGACTGAGTAGCAAGACAAGGAGCAGGAAAATACTGTGATAAAATTTCAGCAATGAGGGAATTTAAAAGAATCTGAATTCAGGATCATTTCAATAAAATTTCTTTAAATAAACAAGATTAGAGGAACAGCTTAAAAGAGATCTTCAAAATTACAATCAGCACAATTTTCACAACTAGACAACTTACAATCTTGATTTCAATGGCATTTGCTTATTGTTCTCTTAACAAATATGCTACTAAAAATTCAAATGTAAGTTTGTGCCAATTTACCACAGCTATCAACTGTACAAGCAGGATTGAGACCTCCATAAAGCTGAGGTCTGATTTGAAGTAGATTTTATGTTGTCTGCAATTAATACTGTGCCTCACAAATTCAATGTGTTAAGTTCAATTCTCAACTCCTCAGATATTGCCCATGCACACATGAAGGGGACCAGGACAACATTCAACCTTGGGCAGATGTGGCAAGTAACATTAGTGCCACACAACCATCAGGCAATGATAATCTTCAATGAAAAAGAATAAAAACAAAAAAACGTATTGATCTGAATCTACCACCATATTTTACCTGGGGGTTAATTTTCTAAAGGTTTAGCATAACTTCCTTTGTTTTGGACTTTGTGCCTCTATTTTTTAAGCCAGGGATCCAAGTATGAACTAGCAAACAGCCTGCAGAAATATTAATTAAAATACCGCTAGATTGAAATTAGGTTTTTCAATATTGACAATGAATACATTAATTTGTTCATTTGGAATTCCTTTATCTCATGTTTCAACAATGGCTTAATCTGAAATGAGTTAGTGATTTCATGAATAATACAGGCCAAAGAATTTAATAGATTCATAGAGTTATATAGCACAGAAACAGGCCCTTCAGTCCAACTCGCCCATGCTGACCTGATATCCTCAACTGATTTAGTCCCGTTTGCCAGCATTTGGCTCATATCCCTCTAAACGCTTCCTATTAATGTACACATCCAGATGCCTTTTAAATGTAATTGTACCTGCCTCCACCACTTCCTCTGGCAGCTCGTTCCATACACACACCACCCTCTGCATGAAAAAGTTGCACCTGAGGTCCCTTTTAAACCTTTCCCCTCTCACCTTTCGCCTCTAGCTTAGTTCTCACTTACATTGGGGAAAAAGGCCTTGGCTTTCACCCTATCCATACCCCTTCGTTTCCACCAAAGTAAAATTCACAATGACTCCATAAATGTAGGAGAACTAGGGAACAATAATAGTCACATCTTTGTTTCTAATATCACATGTCCTGGTTTCAATGCTGAATTTCTCAGCTAGCAAACTACACTTATACTGGACTGCAAAACTTGCACAATGCATGATCCAGTTAAGCTTATAAGTGAAGGATTTTATGGAGTATTTTGTTCTTTGCACTGAAGCTATAACTATGCACCTCCAGCATGAACTAAAGTATTAGGTTGAACTCATTTACAGTAAAGTGTCACCACTTCACAGGAAAACACTTGAGAGATTAAATGTCATTTCTGACTTTGTATCACAATGCCAAGAGAAGCACTAAAAGGGAGCATGAATTGGAGAATTCAGCTTATAACATTGCTACCCTGTCACCAACATTCATTCCCTTTGTATCTTCCCACTGTGTACTCTAGGTTGCTGAATAAGGCCTCATTTTCCTATCCAAATGAAGGTAATGTAGATTGCCAATTTTTTTTGTCCAAAATCATCCATATACTGAAGATCTTCTTGAGGACTGAGAATTCACTGACTATAAACAATCCATGTCTTGCCATATCTGGTTTAAAAAAATTTCCAAGTGCCCAAATTACACCGCAGCTTCTTGACAGATTCTGAAAACGCAAATTATAAAGCAATTTTGATGTTACACTAAAAGCTATGAATAGTACGTAGATTTAATCTTAAACAGTCCAGAGACTTGATTGGACCCCAAGTCCGTATTAGTGCTGGAGTATTTTCTTAGAATATATACAATCGCACTCAGCCTGCACTAAATCAGACATTTGGTTGAGCGGGTTTGAAAAAACATTTCCTTGTATACTGCACATTTCAAGACACATCCCTTAGTGCATTGCAACCAATGAGTCGCTTTTGAGGAGTCAGTTTTGTAACATAGGAAATGCTGCCACCAATTAGCAAACAACAAGGATCCACAAAACAGTGATGTGAATAATCAGACATTCTGTTTGCAAGCAGCTGATTGAGAAGTGGACATTGGCCAGGATTACAAAAAGAATATTAGTAAGGTTGACATTTTTAAACTTTCCCTCCATTCCTCATCTCTTGTCTAGCTAAAAGGAAATGTTTTAATGAATGCTACTTCATATCAGGCCAGATGAAAGTGTGCCTGAGTGACCTAGGATTACTAAGTCCCTCAATGAATCTTCCATCTGCTCAGCACTTGCCCCATGTATCACAGTTTGCTGACTGGGAACATGCAGTGTGACAAAAATACCCCCTAACATTCTGCAATGCAAGACACCTCAAATATATATCATCTTGTAAAGCCAACCGATGAAAGATTACACTATCTATTTCAGCACTAATGATCAGTCACATTTATACCTGCTGTTTATGCCACTTTCAGCAAAGGAATAGTTCAAATCTAGTCTTAAAAAGGTTTTAAAAACAAACTCCATTAGAATGTCCCTAAACAGCCTAAAATTACAGAAGTGTTACATCTAATTACTTTTACAAGACCCACCTGTAATCTTTAGTCAGCTAACCGTATCTACAATTCCAAACATCCCCTAGGCCGTGATAATATGCAAATTGCAATATATGTCTTTCACCTCAGATTTTTCAGCATGTGCAATTATATATATACACACACATATATACATATATATATATACACATCTTTTTCTAAATTTATTTTATGTATAGTGGATATTTTCTCCAGTATGATGTTGAGATATAGATTTTAAAAACATTTAAACTTACTGCAACAGAGATTCTCCCTAGCACATGCTCAGGGATTCTTCTATATACATCCAAAGAACCTCCTGAAGGAAATTGTAATGGAGGAGAAAAAACATGAATGTATATTAAAATAAACTAGTATGACTACAATCATAACTTCTACAATAAATTCTTATGACTTGATATACTAGAGGACCGTATCTGTTTCAAGGTCAAGTACAACATCAATTTACTTGAGGTACTTATGATATTTTAAAAACACTATAGTGTTAATATAGTAATTAGGGTTTAACTTACAAATTACATCCAACAAATTGACATTCACAAAAGCAAATATTTACAAACAATTAGCTTTATTCATACCTCTAAATTGCAACGAAAATTTCGATTATTACATCATTATTCTTTGACAGAAGACATATAAAACATACCAATAAGTTTAATAGTAATGAATTAACACAAAACATTGTACTATTAAAATTCTGTTTGACCAGACAGGACTCTTTCAACAAGGGCGAATAAAAAAAGAGATTTGTTACCCATTAGGAATATAATTCAAAAATACTGAGTGGTGGGGAAAAAAATCAGTTCAGAAGATGTGGCAGGTGTCACATTGCAAACTAAGTTTGATTTAATATTAATCTTTTCTTGCAGGCTCCTGCAAAACAGATTTTGCTCGGAGATACTTTTTTTAAAAAAATCCATTCATGGAAGTGGACGTCACTGACAAGGCAAGCATTTTCTGCCCATCCTTAATTGCCCTGGAACATTTTAGGGGGCAGACAAGAGTCAGCTACATTGCTGTGGGTCTGGAGTCATAGACGAGGTAAAGAGGCAGATTTCTTCTCTAAACAACTATTGGTGATAGTTTCAACCTTTGTGGAGTCAAATTTTCGCTTCCAAATAATATTAAATTTAAATTTCAACAGATGCCATGGTAAGATTTGAATCCATATCTTCACAGCATTAGCTTGGCCCTCTGGTTTACTAATCCAGTGAGATTATTACTGCACCACCATAACATCATAAAGATAATAGCACTTTTATTTCTAAGACTTCCAGCCGTGTAAAAATGTTCATTTGGTTATCTGGTCTTTACAACTGCTACTAATCCTTTTTTGTCAATAAAAATCTTCTTCTGATGATACTGGCACCTCTTGAAGGTGATACTTTCTCCTAGTATCATATTAGCTTGTGAAACTAAGCCAGAATATGTGTCAGCATCTCTATTTTACCTCTAAGCTGAGTCACTTTCTGCAGAAACACAACCCCGAGCTGGGTCAGAAACTACGAAATCATATTTCTAACATGGGTTACAGCATGTGGAATCATACCCTCAGTGAGTGTCAGTGACTGTGGAACCTTACTAAAATAGATCTATACTTGCAGAACTATATCCCTGGCATGGTCTAAGGCCTTCCCGACATGATGAAGAGTACTGAGAAAACAGTATTATAAAATATAGTTTATGGCAATACAAATACAAAAACAAGAGATGCAGGAAGCCAAATTATTTCACTATTTCAACTGTTATTCCTTTGGTATGACAATGGATGGACAAGCCTGTGTACTGATTATTTGGGAATATCACACATTTTTTATACATAATAGTCCTCCTTTTCCTTTTGTATAACAAGCACAGAAATTCATACAGTCCTAACCAACTTGCCTGCATTGTATCCATTGAAAACGCATTACATTCTATCAAGGCATCACAAATCCTCTAAGCTATATGCCAAATTGAAATGCTGCCTATTTGCCATCTAAATCGGGTTTCAGAGAATAGTTCAAGTGCCATCAAATCCAGCTATATTCACAGATAAGCTGCAGGGCCAATGTGGATTTAAATGTAACAAGTTACTGCTGATAAGGTGAAAGTTTTTTTTGCAGTATGTTTCAACATAGACTCTGGGTTAGATTTTTTGCTTCTCTAAATCATTCCAAGCTGCCAAGTGTATTCCAGTTTTGACTTACATACCCTAACAGAAAGGAACATACCAAAGCAGTAGTCAAATTTGCAGATTCCCAGTTTAAAAAAAAATTACAGCACATTAATTCAGATTCATACAATAAAATTGATGCATAAAATAACCAACAAACTCACCATCCATGAATTCTGTACATATTGATATCCTGTTTTCCACAAAAAATGCTCCATAAAATCCTATTATATACGACGAATCACACTGTAAGCAAGTGAACAACCAAAAAAGATTAAGAATGAGACCCACAATTGAACCAAGTAAAGCAAAGATGAAATTAGCACTCAAAAAAGCTGGAAAATTACCTTATAAAGAATTTCTAGCTCTGACATAATTTGCTTTTGAACTTCAAGTGTAATGTCTAAAGGAATAACCTGTAATAAAGTAAATCAAAATGTTATCTTGTGCTAGTTGACCAAATATTGCAGCTTACATGTTAACAATAAACACAGTTCACAGCAGTTGTCAGCAACTTACTGAAGACATTTTTCTATATATATTAGGAACTGTGAAGTAACAATTACATTGAGATTAAAACATGATTAAACATGAAGGCCAATCTTGCTGGACACCATCAAGGTTGTAAAGCAACTCAAGAGGCAATGCTTCAGAATCAAGGCTGTAAATTCACAGAAAAAGGTAAAGAAATCTCTTCTGAACTTCTAATCTACTCTTCTGAAAGTAGTGGGACCCAGATGGTAACACATTTGTCTCAAAATGAGGTTATGGGTTCAACCCACAGACCAGATTACGTTACATAACCTAGGCTGACATACAAAAACTGAGAAAGTACAACATGTTACTATTCACTGTGAATGTTGAAGTTTCCAAGGTACTATTCAAAAAGTACTCCTCCTGTTCAAGATTACACACACAAATAATAGCTCAAGAACAGACTGACTGGTTACTTCTTTCACTCCTATCTGAGAGATATGGCTCTTGCAGAATTCCGCTGTATTTGTCTTTACAATCTCGACACAAATAAAACTCAAAAATATTAATTTTGTGAGGGGTTTTAATTATTTAGCTGTGTTCTTGAATCAAATGCTACTTAGTCTCACAAAGTACTTTTCATGAAGTCTAGGGAACTTTCTGTAAGAATCTTTATTCACATTCTCTTCACACTAGATTAGAGCTTTGCTCCCTTTCAACACTCTACTTAACCATGTAGCTCTGACATTTTCATTACATCATTGTACATGCATCTGGTGTTAATCACATTACTCTAGGCATCCACTCGAAATCTCAGATTTTACAGGGTTAGTTTCTGTAGTGCTCTGATCAATCTCACTGATGTGTTCTGATCTCATTCTGAGGACGAGGATGTTCTGCACACTTCCTTCTTTTAGTGAGAGAATGTCTCTTCCGGGTGGCCGTTGAGCTTCCTTCTTTTTCCAAGAAACAATTACAGGTTGTTATTAGTATCTTGTTCAATAATGTAAATGCATGACCATTTCTTCTAATATTCCTATAAACTGTTTCAACATGTCAATCTCAGTTGTTGTGTCTTTGTCATGATCACTCCTTTTCTCTGTTGATGTCATATACATATTCTTTCCCAGGTTATAGCTCTGATAACACTAGTTCACCTCAGTAACTGACTTCAATATGTCTTTCTGACATGTCCCCCATATTTTGTTATGTTTGACATTTTACCCCAATTAGCTTTCCAAAGTACTATCATTGGACTCCACAGGTCACTGTGCAAGAACTCTATTATAGGATGATCTATACTCCTATTCTTTTCATGCAAGGTGAACTTCTGCTCACTTTCAGTTTGTTACACTTAATTATGTGACTCTGACATCATTATTCATGTTTCTGATGTTTATCCCATTAACTTACATCAAATGTCCTAACCAAATGGAGGCATTTTAAACGGTTTATCATCAACTTATTTAGTACTTGTTACTGTAATTTTACTGTGATTCAAAGATTCTAGTAGCTTTCTGGGACATATGTGGGGACTCTTTAGGTGGAAAATTGACCAGAATTATGATGAAACAGAATCATGCTATCTGAAGAAAGCTCTGCTGAGATGAGTCAGTTCTCAACTGTCTGCAAGAATCATGTGATCAGTAGAATCAAAACTTTTTCTTCTTTCAATTTACGGACACCAAGGTTCAGAAGAGAGTTGCTGGGAATGGAGGGTTTGAGTTATAAGGAGAGACTAGATAGGCTGGGATTTTTTTCACTGGAACGTAGGAGATTGCGAGGTGACCTTATAAAATCACAGGGCTATAGACAAGGTAAATGGCAGGTGTCTTTTCCCTAGGGTGGGGTTTTCGAGACGAGGGAGCATATTTTTAAGGAAGGAAAAGATTTAAAGGAAGACATGAGGGGCAATTTTTTTTTTACTTTTTACACAGAGTTGTTCTTGTGTGGAATGAATTTCCAGGGGAAGTGGTGGATGCGAGTACAGTTACAACATTTAAAAGTCATTTAGATAATACATAAATAAGATATGATGGGAGGGATAATGGGCCAAGCGCAAGCAGGTGAGTTTAGTTTAGATTGGGATTATGATCAGCACGAACTGGTTGGACTGAAGGGTCTGTTTCCGTGCTGTATGAATCTAAGTAATTATTGCCCCTGCTGAGATCAACTAACCACATAATCGTACCTGAGCTTTTGTTTGATCTCGTACATTTACCTACTAGACCTTTGAGAAGTCCCTGAATTGAGTCTTGGCTAAGGTCTTGTGTAATAATGACATCACAATTCCTGATTGACCTTTGCTTCAAGACAACTAGCAAATATATGAAATACTCTGTCAGCATTTACGTTCAGAGCCAAAGGAAGGACACATCAGAAAAATGAGTTAAAATCTACATTTCAATGCACGTTGAATTAAGATGACTGCAATAAACTGCATTTTTCTCTTGTGCTTTAGAATCCTAAATAGCCTCCTGAGGGAACGTTAGATACTTCCCTCCCACTTATCCACCCCTCCCCACCTCACTGGCCAATCTCCACCACTCCCTACCTTCACTCACCTATCACCATCCCACCTGCCTTCTCCAGTCCCACACCTCCTCTCTCTATTCATTTCCGAGTTCCCTTTGTCTTCCCCATTTTCGAAGAAGGGTCCCGACCCGAAACGTCAACTTTCCTGCTGCTCTGATACTGCCTGGTCTGCTGTGTTCCTCCAGCTCCATACTGACATTAGCATACCATCTAATTGGTGGAGTCTTGTTTCAAACTATTAAGTGTATCTTCCTGATTGGCCAGAACTACAGAAAGTTCCAGAAAACAATATGAAAGGTATAAAAACAGAGTTCACATGCAGACCTCTCTAGGAATTGTCTGAGGCCTTCTGAGGAGACCAGCATGGCAAGAGGCAGAGACCAGTTGACCATCCAGAGACAGAGGGAGAAAGCAGCATCACAGACCCAGAGACAGAGCCACAGAGCGGAACTGCGTAAACTTACAAGAGACTCAGGAAGTATTGTAACCCTAAGGGGCTAAACAGGATTAGGGATAGTATGTTTAGTATTAAAGATTATTGTAATTTTCTTTCCTAATAAAGTGGGAATGTGTTGCTTTGGTACCGTCTTATGTTCATATCGATTTGACTGCTTTGGTACTGTGGAACACCTGGGCAAATTCAGTCGTAACATTCTGGTTGGAATTGTCTGCAACTTGTTTAAAGGGAAATCAGACAATAGTACGGTGGTCATATGGGATCCACGGTGAGTTGCTACGCTGGATACAAAATTATCTTGGTCATAGGAGACAGAGGATGAATGTGAAGGGGTGTTTTTCTGACAGGAGATCTGTGACCAGTCGTGTTCTGCAAGGATCAGCTGTATTAAATTTTCGTTAGGCTACAGCTGGAATAGTGTATGCAGTTCTGATTGCCACACTGTAGGATGGATGTGTAGGCTTTGGAGAGAGTGCAAAATAGATTTACCAGCATGTTGCCTAGTTTGGTGTGTTTCAGCTATAAGGAGAGGTTCAACAGACATGGATTAGTTTTGCTAGAGAGTGTCAGATGCTGAGGAGAGACCTGATAGAAGGACATAAAATTATGAGAGGAATGGATAGGGTGGATAATCGGAGACTTTTTCAAATACTAGGGACATAGGTTTAAAGTATAAGGGTCAAAGTTTAAAGAAGATGGGCAAGGCAATGATTTTTTTTAAGCACAGGGGAGGAGGTGCTCTGCCAGGGAGGTTGTCAAAACAAATACAATCGGAAAGTTTAAAAGGCATTTAGACAGACACATGGAAAGGCACGGAATGGAGGGATATAGAACGTGTGCAGACAAGTAGGATTAGTTTAGAATGGCATCAGGGTCGGCACAGACATGGTGGCCGAAAGGCATGTTCCTATGCTGCATAATTCTATGTTCCTCTCTTTCCAAACGTCTGTTGCCTTCATTAATCAGATCTATCCTTTCATTCTTTTTGTGACCTTAAGCCTTATCTGTCAATTTACTTTTAAATGTGCACATTCTATCCTTTCCTGCCACAGTCTGTTTATTATTGCCAGTATTAATACTTTTCTGTGCTGCATCATCTTTACTCTTTGCTTTACTACATCTTTTCAAGTTTGATCTTTATCTGCACTTTTTAATTTAACATCCTCTACGTACCTAGTTATGCCTTGCGCAAGAACACCAGCCTCAGCATATTCAGATGGCAACTAAGAGTACAGATCCCACTTCACCAGTATAGGTGATAGTGATTAGAGGAACTCAGTTCACCCATACCAGTTTTTGAGCCATGCATCAGTTTCTCTAATTTGATTTGCCTTCACCCTAAGGGGAGGTAATGACCTAGTAATATTGCTAGATTACAAATCCAGAAATGCAGCTAATGTTCTGGGAATCTGCGTTGAATCCCACCAAGGCATGGTGGAATTTGAATTTAATAAATATCTGGAATTAAGAATCTAATAATGACCATGAAACCACTGCCAACTGTTGAAAAATACCCAATTTACTAATGTTCCTCACAGAAGAAAATCTGCCACTTCACCTGGTCTGGCCAACACATGACTACCATGAATCATCATTCCTCGGATGATGAATCAGTACTCCACCAAGTCGAACGGCACTTGGAGGAAGCACTGAGGCTTCAAGAGTGTAGAATGTACTCTGGGTAGGGGATTTCAATATCCACCACAAGGAGTGGCTCAGCAGCAGCATTACAGATGGAGACGTTCAGGTTCTGAAGGACACAGCTGCTGGATAAGGGCTGTGGTATGTGAGAGAACCAACAAGAGGGAGAAACATATTTGACCTCATCCTCACCAATCCACCTGCTGGAGATGCATATGTCCATGACAGTATCGGCAAGAGTGACCACCATTGCACAGCCCTTGTAGAAACAAAGTCCTGCCTTCATATCAAGAATATCCTATACCATGC